TGCACTGATGATCAAAAGAATCCCGTGGCTGTTCATTTCAGCTTGTTGAAACATGGTTTATCTGCACTGAGATGTACTGGGATTGAACATGTACGAAGCCTTGGACGGGGGCGATATTACAGTTTTTTTTTTTTTTGATTGCTTTGAAGCAGCCGACAATTGAAACTCCACATTTTCAAAACAGTTAACACACCTGCCTAAACAGTATCACTGATGGCAAAATGACACATTTTGTTTGCAAAAGGCTCTAACCATGCCAAAACATTTAAAATATGCAACAAAAGCAAATTTTGCCTTCAAACAACACAGCTTGCAAACAAGTATATGAGCTCTTTTAGTCAGTCATTACACAATGGACAGCAAAATACACAACTCAGTGTGAATCGGTGCACCATTGCTGGTCATTGTAGCCTATAGCCAGTGCCATTTGTCTTTCTATATAGGCTGTGTCAAATTAGCCTTTTTGCAAAGAATTGGATCCAGAATAAGAAATACTTTGATACAATTTTTATTGAATACATGATCTTTCTTTTTTAACTGTGGCTGAAAACTGAAATACCGCATATAATAACTAAATATTACAGAAAAAAATGTAAACCAAAATACAGTGAAATCTATTGTAAAACATAGCCACTACTCAAACTCAGTCTCTTCTGTCTTGAGGATGGGGCCACATGGTCTCATCCACATCACATTCAATATCCTCTCTTGCAAGGCACCTCTTCTTGCATGCCTTATCCAACTTTGACATTCCTCTGCACCTATTTGTTGGGCAGCCGCAGTGTCCAGCCTCTCTAAGAGAAAGGCCATGATTGATACGTGATCAATAATAGTTGCCCGAATTTCATCTGAAACTTGAGCCCTTCCAACTACACCTCCCCCTCGCAGACGGACTCCTCTTCCTCGGACTCCTCTACCTCTTACTCTCACTCTCATCTGCCTTAGACCTCCTCCATCCATGCTGGCAAAGAACAACAAGAACCTGGCCCCCTTTTTATCAGGCCTACAGACTGATTGCTGATTGAAGATTTGTGTGAAGCAGTGTCAAACAGGTGCTTTAGTGATTTCACACTGATCTTGGTAGTTTCTAATAGTTAGGAATAGATGGTTTCTCTTTGGTTACCATAGCTAAAACAATGGAGTTTGGACTGTTTGAATGACATCCGTGTTAACTGTTTTGCAAAAGGGTGGGAAAATGTGTCAATCCAATGAAAACATGTTTACACATTTGTGATATGTGTCTTCTGCTCTGCTGGGTTAGTGATGATGAAAACTGAGTGGGTCCTAGTTTCTTTAAACAGGTCAAAGCAATCGAGAAAAACTGTAACAGTGTCCTTTGGAAGAGGGAGGCGTTTTACATTTTCACTCTCAATACTTTGTCGCCTAAAGGCTTAAATTTAGATTTTGATCCAAAACCATTTTGTAGTGTGGTTAATATGTTGCGTACTGGTCATGTTTTGGCCAACTGCTGAACTCAGATTAACTAGTTTTTAAATAGGATTTTTCTCCTTTTCTCATGGTTTATCATGTGTGATTGTTTTCTCTATTGTATTTGTTTGTTTTTTTTTGATTGCTCCCCCATGTTGACGTCTTCTGCTCCTTTGGCGGGGGGCTGTCGGACATTGTATTTTAGTCCCGTCCTGACGGATTCCTTTTAGAGGAAGATTGTCTTCAGATTAGTCATATTGAAAACACCTGAGTGGCATCTTAGCAGGTGCACATAAAGATCAGACAGTACCCAGAGTCTGTCCTGATGAGTCCGAAGCCTCATCAGCTCTCTAATTAATCTGCACTCTGCATGGTTCACATAATGACCCACCTCCACATTCTGTGTTTTTCTTCTTCTTCCAGGTTTGTGAAGGAGAAGAGGCCAACCATCTCCCCCAACTTCAACTTCCTGGGCCAGCTGCTAGACTTTGAGAGGAAGATAAAGAGTCCTCACTGTACAGAAACTAAACTAAAGTTGCTGCACCATCAGGAGCCAAGCTGCAACATCCCTGCTCAGCCAGAGGACCTGGAGCCTGCAGCCTGTCCAGAGGCCCCTGTGGGCCCCGGCCCAGCCCTGCTAGAGCCCCTCACCCTGCCCTGTGTTTTAGCCGACGCCCGAGAGGAGTGTTTGCTGGCTCAAGCTCTGAGTGGCCTGCAGCTCACTGATGGACCCGAAGACAACGCCCGGCTGAAGCGCTCCTTCTCTCTGGACATCAAGTCATATGGTGAGCCAGGTGGAAACGCCACTCACAGAGTGTTTGTCCCTCACGGTGGACCAGGAGATGCCACTGAGTACTACAAACCATCTGGCTTCAAAGAGGCCACCAGTAAACCCTGTCAGTTCTCCCCGGTGGAGGAGGTTTCAGAGCAGTCCACGCCAGAGCACAGCCCTGACAAGGAGGAGGCCCATGGACCACCCCCGGCCTCCAGCGGCTTCACCAACCCTCCGCCTGCTGCTCCGAGCTGTTCACACCAGCTGCACCGGAGCGGCAGCATGGAGGAGAATGCTACCAGCTTCCTGTTTGGCCTCTCCCGCAGTCAGCAGCATCTGGCCAAACCGCGGCCCAGCGGGGCCCTGAAAGGCTGGCACTCGGACATCCTGCTGGGCCCCGTCACTGTCTCCAGTTCCTCCCTGGCTGGTGGCTGGTACCTCTCCTCCGACTCCACGCGTTTTTACTCCACCTCCATCCTGAGCGGCGGCGGTGGAGGCTTCACAGCCTACAGTTGCGGCCATGGCCTGGAGGCGGTGCGGCGGCGCAGTCGGCAGAGGACAGGTGACCGTGGAGACTCGAGAAGGAGTTGGCACGAGGAGAGCAGCTTTGAGAAGCAGCTGAAACGACGGAGCTGCCAGATGGAGTTTGGAGACGGGATGACAAACAGCAGGTCCAGAGAGGAGATGGGGAAGGTGGGGAGTCAGTCGAGCTTCTCCGGCAGCATGGAGATCATCGAGGTCTCCTGAACCTGATCCTGAAACTCTCTTAGATGTTTTCAGGCAGGAAGAGTCTGACGGACGCAGCTTCGACTCCATTGACATCAGAGGGAAACGGTAACATGCAGCGTCACAGAGCGCTGTGTCACCAGACTGAGGGGAGCTGTGAGCTGGGCCTGAAACGTTTTCTGAAAATCAGCTGTGAAGAAATCGGGCTCATAGATGAGAGGACACGTTCATCAAACATATTTTTTGAACGCAGAGAATGCCAGAGTCTGCTGCAGATAGTGATGCATCATAGGTCTTTAGCCATTATGTTGCTAGGCTAATGAGATTCTTCATGCAAGTTTACAGTGTGTGTCCGAGTCAGTCGGCACTAAAGGTTCTGTCTGACACCTGCTCAAACGTGTTTCTCCCACTAAACAGGAATAGTCAGAACATTCTTTGTGTGGAGCTCAGAGCCTGAAGTTAGAAGTAACACCACCAGCCAGAGAAAATATTGAATATCTGATCCTTTGTCAGAGTAAAGACAGACAAGGAGCGAAGCTAGATGGAGATTTTCTGTGGTCAGACTCGTACCAGAGACACCGTGGTTTCTGACTGGGGGTGTGACAGTTCTCCACATCTTGATTTATAACCGCAGACGTGATCACGTATTTACCACTGGACCAAAACGGTCGTGACACATGCAGACGGAAAACGAAATAATAGATGTAGTAAAGTACAAAATATACAGCCTGCCCTGAGTTTGGGGTTGGTGGGTGCAGAGTGGGTACTCCCCTATTCATGACCGGTGCTGTAACTCCAGGCAGGGTTGCCATTTTGCCTTGAAGTGAAGAGATGCCTCCCGCCCAAAGCCTGAACATCTGCAGTTCAGTGGTCACTTTATTAGGTACACTAAACTAAATCAGGTTCAGTCTAATCCAATAAATCTTTCTTCACGAAGGTCATAATAGTCAGTTTGAACAGTGCTGCATTATACGATCATGTTTATTCAGCCTCACCAATATAAATGGGATGGACAAAATACCAGAAACGGCTCTCTGTTTAACACAGTCCAGCTGAACAACAACACAAAGTGCAGCCTCCACAGTCATCACACAGGTGAACCAACATGTCTGAGACACAGTCTGAACATTATCACCTTCATGAAGAAGGATTTACTATAGGACTGACTTAGATGACTGTAGTAAGAAGTCGACAGGCCGCCGCTGTGTGTTGCTGTGGTGAAAGAACTCTGAGCCTTTAAAGTGTCATCTGGTTTGTGGAGCCCCTCCTGCATTTTCTCACAGACACGAGGAACCAAAGTGAAGCCTATAGACGGAACGTTGGTCCTCTGCTCTGTTTCTCCTCTGAGCGTCAGCAGTGCCTCACCATCTAAATCCCCACTTTGTGTTTTAGGGTTAGTGATGGCGAGATTTCAGGTGAACGGCTCGACCTGAGGACGGGCTCAGTCAGGATGTGAGTAACAGAGGCTGGGACTCTTGTTGAGACGCTGAGAGGGTTTAGAACATACTGACGGTGGATCACTCAGTTAATCTTGCACTACTGTGGTGTGGAAAATGGCTTTGATTCAAAGAGTATAAATCAGTAAAGAGAAACAATGCAGTGTTTCTGAGTGGTTTTCATGCTGTCAGTCCACTTCCTGCTGTAAATATGAATTCAAATATTTCCTGTTTTTATTTTGACCTCTGTCACAAGACGAGTATTTTTATCGGAGAGCCTAATGTCCCTGAAACTGAAGTGTATTTGTGGTATCTCAGAAAGAGTCCTCCCAGTTTTCTGATTTCTCTTCTAAAGTGCTGAATCACTTCCTTCTTATATCTAAGTTTAGATTTACAGTTCAGCGGTTCTAATAGGTTGTTTTTTTTTTAAAATGAGGATCCATGAGGCTTAACAGTAAAGTAGTCTTCCAGGGTTTGACTACAGTCAGGGAAAAAATTATTTGAACCCCAGCTGATTTTGTAATTTTGCCCACTAACAAAGAAATTATCAGTCTACGATTTCAATGGTAGGTTTATTTGAACAGTGAGAGACACAACAATAACAAAAAAATCCAGAAAAATGCATTACAAAAAAAGTTATAAAGTCATTTGCATTTTCATGAATGAAATAGGTATTTGATCCCCTATCAGTCAGCAAGATCTCTGGCTCCCAGGTGTATTTTATACAGGTAACGAGCTGACATTGGGAGCCCTCTCAGCTCGTTACCTGTATAAAAGAGACCTGTCCACAGAAGCAATCAATCAATCCAGATTCCAAACTCTTCACCATGGCCAAGACCAAAGAGCTTTCCAAGGATGTCAGGGACAAGATTGTGGACCTACACAAGGCTGGAATGGGCTACAAGTCCATCGCCAAGCAGCTGGTGAGAAGGTGACAACAGTTGGTGCGATTATTCGCAAATGGAAGAAACATAAATTAAATCAATAAAGGAACAGGAGTGCACTGGTGATGCCTCCGCCCCAAACCAACAGCATGAGGTGAGACATCACTTGGAGAGCTCCCTGACTTTTAGTGCAAAATCACTGGATTTCCCATAATGCAACTGGATAGGCTTTCGTCTAACTGGGGAGACACACTGGAAGCGTCTCAGGCTACAGATTAGAATTCCATTATGTCAAATGAGTCAATCCACACCGAATCTGAGACATGTGCCCTATGAACCCTCATGTTTTTTTTTTGTTTGTTTTTTTTTACTCTTCACGTCTGCTTTCCCCTCTGCTGCATTTAGTCAATTATAATCTCCACATTCAGCTGGTTAAATCACACAAATCCTGTTGTTTTTTTGTTTCTACGACTGATCAGGCTGCTTCGGTTTCACTTTCTCCCTCTGTAACGAGCGGGGGGAAATCGGTAACATCAAATCCATAGGCTACATCAAAACACGATTTCTTTCTGATGATTTTACATGAAAACTATTTTTGTCCAGTCCACTTGTCTTGTTGGTCGGCCTGGTGAAGCCTCTGCCTGGCCGCTGTCCTGCTGACAGACAGACTGCTGTTCTGATGGCTTAAAGACAGAACTCACGTCTCTCTTTCAGTGTGTTTTCTGTTATACCCACTGTGACTGCTGTTCTCCCGTGTTTCTACCATGGCTTATCCATCCTAGAGAAGACAGGAGGAGTGAGAGAAACTGGAATTGAAGACAAAGTCGTTACGTGCAAAAAAAAAACAACAAAAACAAATGTTGACCCCCTGGTGAAAACCAGGTAAAGATATCGTTTCAAAGCCCCCTCCCCCGGCTGGCAAATCCACCCTCCTGATCAGTTAACCTAGAAGAAACACTGCCTTTGTACATGAAGTTCAGAGAGTCCACAGTGCCCTCTGCTGGGCGGAGGGCATAACAGCTCAAACACATTTTCAGCGTTTAATTACTGCAGGTTTTCTGATGGGATTTAATTAACTACAAAACCCTGAACCCAAACTGTGTGATGACGAGCGAGAGCGCAGAGTATGGAAAACAAAGCTGCCAATTAAAATTTTAAAATCCTTTTCATTTGTTTGAAAAGGCGAAATGACTGGTCTTTAATATACAATTTTAAAAGCCGTTAAAATGTTAGTCCACTTCCTGCCGTAAATGCGAGTTCAGAACCGTTTCTGTCGGCGCCCTACCACTAACACTTCTGATTTGTAAAGAAGTCAAATGCAAAACGTTACCTGTCAAAAAATCTGAAGTCTATAAGACAGTGAGAGTGTTTTTAGAGAGCGTGCACAGTCAGATGCTCTTAGCCTGTCACACACCAGGATGCTAGGGACAGCCACTGGAGCCAGTTGCACTGTAACTGCAGTGTCACATCACTTTGTTTTTTATAACCAGTTGTCTCATCAAGGAAAGACAAACACATGTCACTAACCTGGCTGCAGAGCTCTGTATGATGATGATGATGATGAGGGGGAGATGAAGGCCCAGAGCTGCCTGGCTGTGCACAGTCTTCACCCATGAGGCTGTGATGACAAAGACAAATCCAGTCAACTTAAAGACACTCAGACTGGCTCCTTCTCAAGGACTTACCAGGGTTAGGATTTAAAAAGCTTAATCCCAGTAAGCACAATTTAAATCGAGTTGCATTAAAAGTCAAAGCATTTCACATCAACTGGCAGAGGACAGTGTTTTACACATGTGTGGAGTTGTTCAATGAGTACACACTAGCATAAGGTAAGCTGTGTTTCCTGCCTGGCTTAAACAGCCAGATTCTGCCAGGGAGATAACTGTCAAATAGCAGGAACACAAACGTTTTTCCCAAAAAGCCTTCTGGATGGAGGAGTTGTGTGCAGCGTTCATTCTGGCCACACAGGCAGAGAACCCAGACAGGTCAAGGGTCATGAAATCTAGGACAACAGGTAGGTTTCAGGTAACCAGTGGAAACTATTGAGGAACTTGTCCTGGGCCAGTAAGTGTCAAGTACCCACCAACAGTGATTCCCTTATCAAAGTCTCTTCATTCTGAAGCAAGGTAGGATTTATTGCAAAGGCATTATCTCCATTTCTGGTTTGCGAAGCAGAACATTACAGAGCTCCCCTGCAGCTCCTTTTATACCATTCACAAGCTCCTCCTGGCCTGGGCCCTGCTCTGTCCTGCCTTCTCTCTCTGACTCCCTTTCAATAAACATCATTATCTCTTAATAATGTGTAGACAAACCTGGTCACTCCCCTTCAGAAACCTTACTTTAAACCACTGTTTCCATCTTGGGCTAACTTAATATACCACTATTTCTGACTAAATAATTCTAAAAATAAAAAAATAACTTTACCAAACATGCAAGTAACAGGTAACAAGCTGACAGGTCCAGGTTATATGATTGATACTACTAATGAGCAAACAATAGCTCCTTCATCAGACATGTCAAAAACATCAAGGTGACATGATGTGACATGCAACACATCAGTCTGTCATGATAATATGTCCGACCCATCCAGAAGTGACAAGCAGACACATTAACCCGTTGTAAGATGACAGACAATATTAATTTGATGCCACTGTGACAGGCAGGTGTCCACAGGTGACATGTTGGGGTCACAGACAGAATAACGACCTGTGTACTGTCAGACAAATAAGCAACATGAATGATTTTCAACATAAACATCAGAAGAGGCTCCTTCTGTCTCTCCCTCTCTGAAGTGCAACAGTCTGGGTAGCTGTCCATGTAACAGACCGATAAGCTTTCTCTCTCTCCCTCTCTCAAGGCCACTGGGGTCCCCGCTCGGTCCGCCGTGTACACAGCAATACTGAGTAAATATAAGAAGTATAGTGAATACAATGAACTTAAACAGGTACAGTGAATACAGACATAAACATATATAATGGATTAGTACAGTTAAGCCTCTGGACCTCCCACAAAACCTTACAGTAGACTGGCTCAGTGGGTTAGTAACACTGGGTGACAGGAACCAACAGGTACGAAAGTATTTGGCCCCCTTGAACTTTGCGACCTTTTGCCACATTTCAGGCTTCAAACATAAAAATATAAAACTGTAATTTTTTGTGAAGAATCAACAACAAGTGGGACACAATCATGAAGTGGAACGAAATTTATTGGATATTTCAAACTTTTTTAACAAATAAAAAACTGAAAAATTGGGCGTGCAAAATTATTCAGCCCCCTTAAGTTAATACTTTGTAGCGCCACCTTTTGCTGCGATTACAGCTGTAAGTCACTTGGGGTATGTCTCTATCAGTTTTGCACATCGAGAGACTGAAATTTTTGCCCATGCCTCCTTGCAAAACAGCTCGAGCTCAGTGAGGTTGGATGGAGAGCGTTTGTGAACAGCAGCTTTCAGTTCTTTCCACAGATTCTCGATTGGATTCAGGTCTGGACTTTGACTTGGCCATTCTAACACCTAGATATGTTTATTTGTGAACCATTCCATTGTAGATTTTGCTTTATGTTTTGGATCATTGCCTTGTTGGAAGACAAATCTCCGTCCCAGTCTCAGGTCTTTTGCAGACTCCATCAGGTTTCCTTCCAGAATGGTCCTGTATTTGGCTCCATCCATCTTCCCATCAATTTGAACCATCTTCCCTGTCCCTGCTGAAGAAAAGCAGCCCCAAACCATGATGCTGCCACCACCATGTTTGACAGTGGGGATGGTGTGTTCAGGGTGATGAGCTGTGTTGCTTTTACGCCAAACATAACGTTTTGCATTGTTGCCAAAAAGTTCGATTTTGGTTTCATCTGACCAGAGCACCTTCTTCCACATGTTTGGTGTGTCTCCCAGGTGGCTTGTGGCAAAGGACAGGGAAGATGGTTCAAATTGATGGGAAGATGGATGGAGCCAAATACAGGACCATTCTGGAAGGAAACCTGATGGAGTCTGCAAAAGACCTGATACTGGGACGGAGATTTGTCTTCCAACAAGACAATGATCCAAAACATAAAGCAAAATCTACAATGGAATGGTTCAAAACTAAACATATCCAGGTGTTAGAATGGCCAAGTCAAAGTCCAGACCTGAATCCACTCGAGAATCTGTGGAAAGAACTGAAAACTGCTGTTCACAAACGCTCTCTATCCAACCTCACTGAGCTCGAGCTGTTTTGCAAGGAGGAATGGGCAAAATTTAAGTCTCTTGATGTGCAAAACTGATAGAGACATACCCCAAGCGATTTACAGCTGTAATCGCAGCAAAAGGTGGCGCTACAAAGTATTAACTTAAGGGGGCTGAATAATTTTGCACGCCCAATTTTTCAGTTTTTTATTTGTTAAAAAAGTTTGAAATATCCAATAAATTTCGTTCCACTTCATGATTGTGTCCCACTTGTTGTTGATTCTTCACAAAAAAATACAGTTTTATATCTTTATGTTTGAAGCCTGAAATGTGGCAAAAGGTCGCAAAGTTCAAGGGGGCCGAATACTTTCGCAAGGCACTGTAAGTAGTAACTGCACCGGCTGGAGACACAGAATGGCTGCAACCAGAAGGTAACAGCTGAAGCAGGCTGGAGATATCCAGCAGGCACAATGCTAGCCGCACACAGTAGGCCAGAAACCAGGTCTAGGACCAGCACGGCTAGTGCCAGCAGGCTGAGACCTGGTGGACCTGGTGCTAGAAGGACAGGCAGACCTGGGACTAACAGGAGGAGAAGTTGCCTAGCAGGTCTGATGCTAACCACGGGCAACAGACTGGGCAACTGGGGGGCAGCTAGCAGGCCTGATGCCAATGAGGCCTACAAACGCTCCCAAAGAGCAATGACATTAGGCATTAAAGCCGCAAATTCCCAAATAGGTATATTTTAGATACACAAAGCCCTCAGTCACAGTACAAGCAGAAATTTTTCTGTAGCGTTCTGGATAACAGCATATCTGCTCCCATGGAACCAGAATTTCCTGTAGCTCCACAGAAAATTAAGCAACACCTGTTGCGTTTGGGTTAATTTGTACTGTCATAAATTATGTAAGAACACACCAAGTATGAAGACAGAGGAGCCACATGCTGACGCAGGCAGGTTAAGGAACTGAAGGTGTGGGGTGGCGAGGGAGCATAGACACTAGCAGTGAACAGAGGAAACAGACATGCTTATATACTGAGGGTGCTAATCAAGGTGAGAGAGAGAAGGGCGGGGCTGGAAGGAAAACCCGGGGACAGCTGGAGACTCTATGAGGAATGAGAGTTTCTAGAAAAGTCCAGAGGAACCAGGAAAAACCTGGGGTAGAGACACAACTTTCCCAAACTGAATGCACCCCAATAGTAGGAGAAAAGTGTTGTAGCTTTTTTCTGATAGGTGAGGATTGACGTTTTAGACTGTGGAAACTTGATATGCCAAAATCAGCCGCACCTTTCCAGTGAAGGCTTTGAAAACCCAGGTAGCCTAATAGAAGACAACACCATCATGAAATGCTTTAGTAATATGCATCATGTAGAAGGTTGTTGTTCACTGGAAAGTCACTCAAAAAGTGAGGAGTTATCCTCATCAGCCTTTGGTGATGCAGTGATTAGTGCCGCTGCCTCACAGCAAGAAGGTGGTGGGTTTGAGCCCCGGCTGACCCGGGGCCTTTCTGTGTGGACACTGCAAGTTCTCCCTGTGCCCGTGTGGGTGACTCAACCTCCGTCACATGATGACATCCTATAAAAAACTATGTTATTGTCTTAAAGTGATCTTCCAGTGTTGGTAGACATTTCATTAAAAGAGATATATTACTGATGCATTAATATACTTTATGAACTGCTGCTGGCCAGGTTTAAGTGTCATGGGGAATCAGGTTTTATGATTTGAGTATGATCAGTGGCAGTAACCCCAGCGGTCAGATAAATGTTGTGGGGGGAAAAAGTAGAATGGAAGTGATAAAATACAAGTTCTCAGTTTCTTCCTGATTTTTTGAGATTTTAGCATTTGTTTGGTCTAATTCTGTCATCACGAGCTGTGTCCAGCCTGCAGCAGAGGGCGCTGAACCCTCTGCACTGTGTACAAGCACACAGCCATATTTCCCCCTGTGGTATGATTGGCAGGCGCTCAATTCCTGCAAGACTTCAGGCCTTTCCTTCAAATCAACAGCTGGAGCAGCTTCATCATGTCAGTCCACTAATATGAGTGTAGGTGCATCAGAGTTTCATCACATTTTATACAAAATCCAACTGTAGTTTACATTTTCACAACAACTATATGTTGGTTTAAATGTTTTTTTTTAACCTTATTTGTTAATTAATATTTTTGTTAAAAGCCAAAGCCATGTCCAGTGCTCAGCACATGCACTAGTGTTCAGTACATTTCAGTGACGTGTACTGAATGGCAGCGGTGGAAGAAACACTTGGTTACCTTAATAAAAGTAGAAATACCACAGTGTAAGAATCCACTATTACAGGTAAAGGTCTTGCGTTCAGAATCAGAGTCATCTTTATTTGGCAAGTATGTTGAGCACACAAGGAACGTGACTCCAGTACAGAGGCTGCCAATGTGCTTTTGTAAGTCAACAAGAAAAAAAAGAGTGTATTAAAAACACTCAAGTGAAAGAAGAAAAGTATCAGCATCAAAATCTACTAGAAGTACCATCAGTACTCGTCCTCCAGAAGGGCCTGTGTCCCAGTAATGTCTCTGATACTGGATCATAGTGACTAATTACTGTGTCCATCACTTTAATGCTGCAGCTGGTAAAGGTGGAGCTGATGGTAACTTCCTTATATACTTATACTGTGAAGTACTTTACATCCTGCTGGGTAGCTGGTGGGTTTCCCACCAGGATCAATAGTGGGAAGCAGCAGGACGTGGAAATAGTCAAGCAAAGTAGAGATACCTAAAAATCGTGCTTCAGTACATTACTTGAGTAAACGTACTTAGTTACTTTACACTCCTGTTGGACGGGGCGTGTCCGCTGCAGCTGGACTGCCTCCTAGTCACGGCTCAGGGAACACCCACCCCTCGGTGTGCGTGCAGGCTGCTGCTGATTCAAAGTCAAATGTAGTTTGATACGAGTAGCGTTTCCGCGGAGCTGAGCCGCTAAAAACATTCTCCCAGCGAACCGGAGCTCCGTTTACCGGATATAAAGTGTTCAGAGGAGACGTAAAATCCTGCCGGGACCGGGGCCACACGCTTGTTACATTGGTGCCATGTTTTTCTAACGTTGCCCGGATTATTAGATGAAGCACACACCTGCGGGTAAGCCCCTTTTAATGATATTCCACAGCGCACCTTGCTCCCACCTCCACCCGGGACGTCTTTAGCATAACGTCGCATGAATGCTTGCTCATTTATAGACCCATTTTCCGTAACTGTGCGCCTTTTTCGGAAAATAATAAATATATCGTGGCTGTTGATCACCTTTGTCGTAGAACATGTAAAGGCAAACCGTGAACCTGATAGCGGTTCACGCAGCTCCCAACACAACGTCGAGGTCTAGTCCTACGTTCACACTTGTTGATCCGCATCTCCGCCTTAAATCAACAACACTGACTCTCGCGCACTGTGCGAGTGCACCTTAAATGGTCAGAACTTCCAATGGAATTTGGCGCCGTGTGTGTTTGTGAGAAGAACGAGGCTTCGCATGGTGAGCCACAGTTTGGCACTGACAGAAAAAGGCATGATGTCCTTGAATGAAAGACAAAAACACGCCACCTGGCTAACGTAGCCAGGTGTGTGTGTCCGAGGCAAACAAGGGGGCTTTAGGGCCTGAAACGAGCCCGTCCGCTAGGGTCGGGAGCACGGCTCCGTACTGTTCCAGCCGGGGCTACCGGGAGGTCTCCGCCGTGTTTGACTCGAGCCGTGATTCTGGTTTCTGCCAGCAGCATCAGGGTCCAGCGGGAAAACCTCGTCTCTTGTATTCCTCCGAGTCTGAGGACGGGCTGTGGACAGGAACGCTTGGCAATAGCAGCAGCAGCTCATTAGTCCCCCTCCCGTGACCTAATTGGTGTTGTGAGGAGTTCAGGTCTCAGGTGAGCTAACCAGGTCAGCCTGTTAAAGAGAACTGGGCCTCGGGTTGTGTTTCAGACTTAAGCATTCAGTGAAAAGCCAGTGAGTGTCACCCTGTGTGAACCCCTCAGAGACACGAGGTGACAACAAAGAAATGCTTTGCTTATTGTGCGTCTGGAGGTCTTATAGGAGGGATTTGGGGCCTTTTACCTGTCTGTGAGCTGTGAACTCCCCATTCTTATCTGGGGGTCAAAGGTCACCAGGCTCCACTGAGAGGCTGGAAGGACCTTTGAGCTGAGCTTGTTGTGTAATTGTTGCTGTTTTCTGCAGCTTTGTCCCATTTGAAGGGCTTCCTGTCAGTGGGACAGAGGAGTATTAAAGTGCACGGCTGGTCCCGGATCTGCTTTTGGTGGGACTCCAGCAGCTGTGGTCTCGGGGGGCTGGGGGAGACTATTTCAGGATGTTTCCCAAATCTCTCTGGGGCTCTGCTGGGAACATGTTATCTCTTTACAGAGGAAGTGTTCAGATTCTTTGCTCAAGTAAAAATATGTGCAAGAAAAATGAACCCCTTGATTTCTGGTCACTCAAATCAAAGAGCCACAAGCTTTTCTGGTGATTGATTCCCAAGGCGATGATGATCAGTTGACGTGACCTGCCGGGCCCAGGTAGCTCCCGTGGTTTGTCTGGGATGCTGGTTAGCGTGACAACGGGGTGGTATATCTCTACCTGCCAGGTGTTGCTGTGATCTGTGGGTGGAGCCCGTGTACGACTGTGGGATTCCAGCCGGGAACTGGATCTGGTTTTCAAGTTTCATGTTTCTCTGGGAGTTTCACAGTCAAACAAACCAGTTTCAAACTAAACAGTATGTCGTTAGTTACTGACAGCACAACGGGTTAATGTGTCTGTGTCCTTCATCCTAGAGTGTACTTAGATTTTGTTTTAAAGGACAACTCCTTTGTTTTTTTTGGGGGGGGGTCCTCAATGCACAGCAGAAAGCACACATACAAACAAAGCCTCTGCTACGATCCCAGGTGGCACCAGCATAGAACAAGACATAAAACAAGTGGAAGGTGCATTGTGATGGTTTTAATGCTGAAGTCTCTGTGTGTTTCTGTCCTTTAGTCCTGCTCAGTTTCATGTTTCTCTGGGAGTTTCACAGTCGAACCAGGAGCCGTCAGCAGCTCTGGGGCCTGTAGCATCCCGATGAACCTGCTGGTTACTGTCACAGCTCATGCACTAGTTGTTTGGCCTGTAAAATATCAGGAAACGGTCAAACACTCTTCACGTGAAGTGTCAGTTTTTGTCTTAGCATGATGGTAAATTGAACATTTTTAGGTTTTGAACCAGCTACTCGGGCAGAAAGAGACATTAGAAGGCTTCATGTTGGGATCAGGGACCAACAGACAACCGAGAAAACAGGCTTCGCCCCCGGCCCCTCCCCCACCTGTCCATAATAAGTCACTGGTTAGAGGCTTAAACCTCAGCAAGCTGCTGCAGCAGATCCGGGCCACGCACAGACCTGGACCCTCAGTAGGGTGGCCCTCAGCTCGTCAGCCTGAGCGGCTTGGACACAGCCGCGCACGCCGTGGACAGGTAGGCGCTGCGTTCGCTGCCAGTCCGTGGGTGTGGGACTCATTCTAGGAGTTTGCCCGTTTATTCTGAGCATTCCTCTTCATGAGACCAGAGCAGTCACAACAATGATTGTATTTGCTTTGTACTTTTCAAGCAAGATTTACAACAGTACTGTCAGATGTCTGAAAACACAGAATGGGCCACAGATGTCTCCGGGCTGTGTAGGAGGGGCAGTGTGCCGTCCAGAGTGAAGGCAAAGCGACAGGTGCAGCAAGTCTGTGGGAACGTCTGCATCAGGGTTTGGTTTCAGTTGCAGAGAGGATGGCGCAGATGTGTTCACCTGTTGGATTAAACCTCCAACCAGTGGGAACGTGGAGGGGTTTGATTAGCAGCATGCGTCTCAACGATGTGCCCGGGAAACCCGCCGTCAGTCTTGTATTTCATGACTGAGTGTAACTTGACCTTCGTTTCACCTCGTCACACACCAGCATGTTTTGTTGCACTGGGTTTACGGTGGTGGGTTTCCTGGCTCCTGTAGTTTGAATGTAAAACCTGCGACCACTCTGTCCTGAACACGCCTGCCTCTCCCAGTGTGCGGGGGAGTTAAAGAAGCTGCTTCGTTCTCTGTCACAGGTGCAGTGACCCTCTGCAGCGACACAGACATCAGCACTTTCAGGGTAATTATGGATTATTATTAGCCTGCTTTATGTGGCAGTCTGTGGAAGCCGCCACAGGTGACAGTGGGTGGCCTGACACAGTCTGCTGGTCACAGCAGAGGGAGCGTGCTGCTGAGTCCAGCAGACCCTGGACTACAGGGTCAAAGTCGATCCCAGAGTCTCCATGGAGGGGTCAATCCCAGCCAGAGGCGACGAGACCATCTGCAGTCAGAATCGATCCAGCTCTGTAATGGATCTCATGACCGTGTCGTGACCGTGTGTGGGGCTGCTGTGAGAACAAATACTGTGGCTGGGAGTTGAAAGGTGAAGACCGGCTTCCTCTGTGGTTTAGCCTTAATTAGCACAGAGGCAGGCAGCAGGGCGAAAGTGTTGGCTCCACGGGAGCTGGTCTTCCTCTAGTCTGCTGGTTTAGTAGAGTTTAATCCATGGAAGGCACTTAAACTAGGTGCTTTCATGCATGAAGGGATTTTTAAAGGGGTGCATGAATTTTATGTTAAAATAGTTTGTTTTTCATCCTAATTTTAGAATTAATTACATGGATTGTAAAATATCTTCAATATGTTTTTATTGAGTTACTTTTTTTAAGAGATCCATGAAAACCTTCCATTAATTTAGTCCTAATTAAACTATTAAGACACATTAAGGTATAAATCAGTGACTGGGTTCACACAGTGGAGCTCTGGCATTTAGAGGCCAGTATAAGGACACCTGTTGTACCGGCCGTGTCCCAGTATCCCTTGTTCAGGAGGACAGGGATTAGCTTCCTGTGTGTGGATGTAAATCTTCTTAGCAATCCTCCTGACCTTCCTGGTTGGGGCACGCTCGGAGACTTAAAGACCTCACCTCTCGGTTTAAACTGGCTGGAATATCGACGTCACAGGAGCAGTCGTATGTGAATTTCTTTTCTCCCCTTCAGTGTCAGTCAGCATGTTTGAGTTATGCACGTACAAGTTTTCAGTCCTTGTGATTTATTTAGATTGCATTCGTACACACTGTGTACACACCTGGTCCTTTAGCTGCAACCACTCACTGCATCTCCATGTAGCCACTGGTCACTTTTAAGTACTGGAACTAAAACCAGATGGATGTGGAAGTCTGGGGTGAATATGAGGGACTATGCAATAGTCAACTGAGGTGCAATACTCAAACCCTGTGGGTAAAATGCATTGTAAATATACACATATGTAAAATCCTGTCCTTGATTTCTCTCATAGTTTATATTGTCTTGTTTTAGGTATTTCTGAGTAGTTTTTCAGTATATCGTCATGGCTGAAATACAGGTATTTCCCCCATTGTGGGATTAATTATGGGAGTAATAATCTTGTCCTTGATCTCTTGAATACCATATTTTGTCTTATTCTTGGGCATGTTGATTTGTTCTCAGGGATTAATTGTGTCATGATCATTCTTGTTCTTGATTGTCTCTCAAATACTATATTCTGTTTGGTTTTAGGTACTTTGGAATCTGTTTCTCAAGATATATGTGTGGTGTTTGTTCTTATGGTGTTTTGTTGCTGGAACACAGGAATATCCCCATTGTGGGATCAATAAAGTCCTACCTACCTAACACTTGAGAGTACAACGTGCAGATAGTGGTGTGAAACCAGAGAGTTCAAGAGTTCTGCCAGTTTGACTGATGGACGCTTTATTGATCCTGAGGGAAATGACATCACCCAGGAGCTTAGAGGAAAAAGACAAAAACATGCTGATTGTGTTTGGTAAGTTGGCTTGCAACATTAGCAGCCAACATCACACACACAAAGCAGCAGTAAAGGCCCGCTGAGTGGCGGCGTCTCTGGATCAGATCAGCCATGTGGAGCTGCCCGAGCGCTGCTGGTCAGATGGAGCCTGGGTAGGACCACTCCAGCAGCACAGCGCGGTCTGAACAAGAATTTAAACGGTGCAGATGCGATGCAGTGAAGCGACGTGCTCGTTCCCCTTCCAGCTGCAGCGTGCTGTGGCGTCAAATACAAAACGCACCTGATCACCAAGTGGAGTCTGTGGCCTCGGTCTGAAATCCTTTTGTTGACTGAGGAGGAAGTGAAACACAAGTTGAGCTTGTGGCGTTGTCGGAGATTAAACAGCAGCACTTCCTCTTTGGTGACTCATTAACAGTCTGTCCGGTTTGATTGGGCGTCATCTGGGATGTGAGGTCAGAGTGATGTCGGTGTGCGCGCTCTCTTCAGGTTCTAAACAGTACAGACTGCTGAGAATAACAAATGATTAACCAGCCAGGAAACGCCTGTGTCTCCCCAGCTCACCTGTAGCTCCTTTAGTAACTGGTGGGAAGATGCTCGATTGGTTCGTGGTGACTTGTCTTCAGCTGGTTCACATGTGCAACATGCCGCCTTCTTTTTAACATAGGGCTCAGTGGTCATATACATCATGGTCACCTGGTCAGGTGGGAGCCTTTCCTTTGGGTTTTATTGTTGTATAACCAGACCATCATGACTAACATTCGTAGGATGAGACGCCACCAGCTTTGACTTCATATAGTAAATTAATATAATGTAGAGTTAGAAGAACAGTTTGTCAAAAGAGCGACGAGTGTTAAAATACAAACGATGTATGCTACAGGCTCATGCCGTTGCTCAGAGGAAGCGGCAGCTTCACGCGTTGTTTGACCTCAGCAGAGATGAGCGGGAGCTGTGACGGAGAAACCAGAGAGTTCCGTTAGTACAGAGAAAGAATTTATCGGTTGGCAGAAATTGATTCTGATCATCATCAGAAGTTGTGGTCTGAGTTCATGCTCCTCGCTGCAGATGGTGGAGGTCTGTGTTACCATGGAGACGCCCCACAGCTCGCCTCAGTGTGTGCGGTCGCTGGCTGTTTGTTGTCACGGCAACAGGCGCTCCTCTGGTCTTCAGGTAAACATGTAAGAGATGTAAACATTTACATCTCCACTGGCCCTTTAGTTGCACGTATGCCATGTAAATCTGCAGCTGATTCTGTCCTCCAGCCGCAGACATGAACACAGGCTCAGTTAGCACTTTATTAGGTACATCTGTACGCCTGAACGCAGCTGTTTGGATGAAGTCTTGTGAATTTTTGTCCTCCCCATTTGAGGGCTCAGAATGTTAGGAACAGCTCTTATTACACAGCAGCAGTTAACGCTGTTGGGCACACACCGGACACGTCAGCAGGTAGTCGGGGGTGGGGCTGCCGGGACAAGCTGATAAGAGCAGTGACTGTGATCTTAGAGTTGACACACACTGACTCGGACACGTTTGTGAAAGTGAGACCCAACTGCTGTTTTTAAAGGAGGCTGCTGGTTATATGTTTATGTATTTTTCAGACTGTCAGCAAATCCAGTACAGACCAGTGTCAGTCTGAGTCCTCTCCCAGTCCACTCCAGTTTCCCCAGCCTCTGTGTTCCAGTGAGCTCCCAGCCCATTGGTTCCTACTGAAGATATAAATCTTACAAACCACTCAGATGTGAAGCCACATGTGACAGTGAGACTCACTGACGAGTTTAGTGGCTTGTGGCTCAGAGTGCTTAGGAGACGTTCAGTGTTTTGGCATTTTCACTGGAGTTGTTACCTGTAAGAAAAATGCAGGACGCCATCAGATTTATCCTTTAACTGTGGGCGCTTTTAAAGATAAGGTGTACTGTGCACACAGTGGTATCAGTCAGACCTGGTCTCCTCAGATCTAAGAAACCTCAGTCAACATTTGACTGGACCTCAGTGGAACAGGAAGTAGGTTTCAGTGCACAGGTGGCGTGTCCTCCCAGGACAAACAGGGATAGAGAGCTGAGCCGTAGCTGCAGCTACAGGCCAGACCTTTGACCTCTTTAGTCCTCTTATTACCTGCTGAGTTTCTGTAAATGGCTGTCAGGTCTTTTCCACCTTGGCTGTTGGAGCCATAGCTCAGGGTGGGGCTCCGGGGGTCACTGCCTTCTGATGAATGTGACTGGGTCACAAAAGACTATTTGGTGATGGATGTTGTGTCCAGCAGCTGCGGGAGCACTGATAACTCTGACTCACTGCAGGAGGGTCACGTGGTTTATTTTGAAAGGTCAGCTGGTAGGAAACATCAATATGACATTGTCACTGCAGCTGTCACTTCTTCTCTTAGTCCCAACAGGACAGGCAGCCTCCTGCTGGTTGATCTGGACGTCTTTGCCCTGGAGGCAAATGAAAACTACAAACCAGTAAGAAACATTTCCACTGGGTTCTTGAGCAGCTGCTCTTGTGATGTTGTTGGATAAGTTTTTATGGATCATTTTGTTCCAGATGTGATTGTTCTGTAGTGACACTGAGCTCCTGTCTCCCTGAACGTCGTCTTACAGGTCTGCACTCTCTCTCTCACAGAGGAGCACATCTCACTGAGGGTTGTTGCTATGGAAACAGAAACCAAAATGGAGGCTGAATGAGTCTCACTTGAATAAAAGATGGAGTCCTGTGAAAAGTAATCACACGTGGCTGCACTGTACATACAGGAACAGTGTGTCGTATCCACACGCAGGCAGTCTCCGAGTCTGCTCATAAA